GAACTGGGTTGTTTTTGTTTTTGAGTTGTGAGAACTCTTTATGCATTCTTTTTGTTGATGTGGTGGATGGTGTTGATTGATTTTCGAATGTTGTACCATCCTTGCATCCCTGCGATGAATTCCACTTGATTATGATGGATGGTCTTTTTGATGTATTTTTGAATTCAGTTTGCTAATATTTTGTTGAGTATTTTTGCATCTATTTTCATCAGGGATGTTGGTCTGTAATTTTCTTTTTTTGTGGTGTCTTTGCCTCATTTTGGTATTAGAGTGATGTTGGCCTTGTAGAATGAGTTTGGGAGTATTCCCTCCTCTACTTTTTGGAAAACTTTAAGGAGGATAGGTATTAGGTCTTCACTAAATGTTTGATAAAATTCAGCAGTGAAACCATCTGGTCCAGGAATTTTGTTCTTAGGTAGTTTTTTTATTACCTTTGCTGGTAATTGGTCTATTCAGATTTTCTGTTTCTTCCTGTGTCAGCCTTGGAAGGTTGTATTTTTCAAGAAAGTTGTCCATTTCTTCTAGGTTATCCAGTTTGTTAGCATATAATTTTTTATAGTATTCTCTCATAATTTTTTGTATGTCTGTGGTATCCGTAGTGATTTTTCCTTTCTTATTTCTGATTCTGTTTATGTGTGTAAATTCTCCTTTTTTTTTTTGATGAGTCTGGCTAGGGGTTTATCTGTGTTGTTTATTTTCTCAAAGAACCAGCTCTTTGTTTCATTGATTCTTTCTATTGTTTTATTCTTCTCAATTTGATTTATTTCTGCTTTAATCTTTATTATGTCCCTCCTTCTACTGGCTTTGGGCTTCATTTGTTCTTCTTTTTCTAGTTTCATTAATTGTGAGTTTAGACTGCTTATATGGGATTGTTCTTCCTTCCTGAGGTAGGCCTGTATTGCAATATATTTCACTCTTAGCACGGCCTTTGCTGTGTCCCACAGATTTTTGCAGTGTTGAATTATTGTTGTCATTTTTCTCCATATATTGCTTGATCTCTGTTTTTATTTGGTCATTGATCCATTGATTATTTAGGAGCATGTTTTTAAGCCTCCATGTGTTTGTGGGCTTTTTCATTTTCTTTGTGTAATTTTTTTCGAGTGTGGTCTGAGAAGTGGGTTGGTATAATTTCAATCTTCTCAAATTCACTGAGGCTCTTTTTGTGGCCTAGTATATGATCTATTCTTGAAAATGTTCCATGTGCACTTGAGAAGAATGTGTATCCTGTTGCTTTTGGATGGAGTGTTCTGTAGATGTCTGTTAGGTCCATCTGTTCTAATACATTGTTCAGTGCCTCTGTCTCTTATTTTCTGTCTGGTTGATCTGTCCTTTGGAGTGAGTGGTGTCTCCTAATATGAATGTATTGCATTCTATTTCCCCCTTTAATTCTGTTAGTATTTGTTTCACATATGTAGGTGATCCTATGTTCGGTGCCTCCGTCTCTTTACTTATTTTCTGTCTGATTGATCTGTCCTTTGTAGTGAGTGGAGTCTCCTAAAATGAATCTATTGCGTTTTATTTCCCCCTTTAATTCTGTTAGTATTTGTTTCACATTTGTAGGTGATCCTATGTTGGATGCATAGATATTTATAATAGTTATAGCCTCTTGTTGGACTGAGCCGTTTATCATTATGTAATGTCCTTCTTTGTCTCTTGTTACTTTCTTTGTTTGGAAGTCTATTTTGTCTGATACAAGTACTGCAACTCCTGCTTTTTTTTCCCTATTAGTTGCATGAAATATCTTTTTCCATCCCTTTACTTTCAGTCTGTGTATGTTTTTGGGTTTGAAGTGAGTCTCTTCTAGGCAACATATAGATGGTCTTTTTTCTTTATCCATTCAGTGACTCTATGTCTTTTGATTGGTGCATTCAGACCATTTACATTTAGGGTGTTTATCGATAGGTATGTTCTTATTGCTATCGCAGGCTTAGGTTCGTGGTTACCAAAGGTTCTAGGGTAATTCCCTTAGAGCAGAGGTTTTTAACTTTCAAAAAGCACAGTGTATAAACATTTCCCTTTGTAGACTATGTTAGATTTATATCTAGAAATTCTTTGTCCAACCCAGGTTCACAAAGATTTTCTCCTTTTTTTTTTCTGAGAGTTTTATAGATTTAGCTTTGCACCTAGGTCTACGATCCATCTTGAATTTTTATATATGATAGTGCATATAGATTCAAGTTACTTTTTGTGCATATGGACATCCCAATTGTTCCAGCACCATTTGTTGAAAAGACTGTCCTTTCTCTGTTTGATTGCCTTTACTCCCTTGTTAAAGATCAGTTACCCATATTTGTGGGTTTGTTTTAAAACTCTGTATTCTCTCTGTACCATTGATCTGTTTATTTTTGCACCAGTACTTTGCTGTTTTGATTATTGGAGCTTTGTAAGTCTTTAAACCTGGTAGTGTTGGCCCTCTAACTTTGTTCTTTTTCAAAGTTGTTTTGGCTATTCTTGCTTCTCTGTAAATTCATCTGAATTTTAGTATCAGCTTGCCAGTCTCCTCAAAAAAGCCTGCTGGGATTTTGCTTGGGATTGCATTGAATCTATAGATCAATGTGGGGAGCATTAATATCTCAGTAATGCCGAGTCTTCAAACCTGTCAACATGGTATATCCTTCTATTTATTTAGGTTGTCCTTAATTTCCCTCAGCAGTGTTTTGCAGTGTTCAGTTTCCACATTGTTTGTCAGATATAAGTAATTCACATTTTTTGATGTTCCTTTAAATAATAATTAAAATTTTTCTATTTCTAATTACTCATGGGAGGGTATAAAAATACAGTGTTGTCTATGAATAATGGCTGTTAATATTGGAGAACTTGACTACCAGATTTCAAGACTTAACTATAGTGGTAGTCATAAATATTGCCTCAATGAAAAGACGTATAGATCAATGGAATAGAATATAGTTCGGAATAGACCCACTCATATAGTCAATTGATGTTTGCAAAGGCACAAAAGTAATTCACTTGCAAAAGAACAGTCTTTTCAATAATGCTGCTGGAATAAACTGAATATCGTATAAATAAGTAAGAGTGAATCTTGATCTCTATCTAATATACAAAAATTAATTCAAAATGGGTTATAGACTACATGTAAAAGCTAAAACTATGTAAAAGAAAACAAAATATTTTGACTTTGGGATAGGTGAAGATTTTCTAGATAGGAACACAAAAAACTTCTAATCACTGAAGAAAAAATTAATATATTGGGCTTTATCAAGTTTAAAAACTCATTAAGGAAATAAAAAGACAAAGCAGAGAGGGAGAAAATATTCTCAAAATGTGTATCTAACAATGGATTTGTATCCAGAATTTATATAGAACTCTGTACCTAGTAATGAGGTTAAAAAAAACAATAAAGTAAAAGGTTTGAATGGATACTTCACAAAAGATGCTCAACATTATTAGTCAGCAGGGAAATACTTATTAAAACCGCAAGGGGATATCACCTTGCATCCTCTAGAATGGCTAACATTAAAAGGTTAACAATTCCAAGTATGGGAATGAATCTGAGAATGAGAATCAACTGGCACTTTCATGCATTGCCAGTGGGATTATAAAACAGTATAACCACCATGGGAAACATTTTGGCAGCTGCTTTATAAATTTAAACATATAATTACTATGTGACCCAGCAATTCCACATTGCTAGCCAAGCAAAATAAAAACATCTGTCCACAAGAAGATAAATGTTCATAGAAGCTTTATTCATTATAGCCCAAAAACTAAATACAACCCAAACGTCTAACATTCAAATGGATAAACAAATTATGGTATATCCATACAATGAAATAACTCATCCATAAAAGGAATGTCTTAATAATAAACTCAGTAACATGGGTGAATCTCACAAAATATGCCAAAGCCTGAAACAAAGGAATGTATGCTAATGAATTTATAATAGGCAAAACTAATCTGTAGTCATAGTTATCAGATTTGGGGTTGCCTAAGGCTGAGTGAGGTGGGAGATTGATTGCTAGTGGGCTTGAAGGGACTTTCTTATGTGGTAAAAATATTCTATATCTTGATTAGGGAGATAGTTAACATGGATATATACATTTGTCAAATCTCATTGAACCATACATCCCATATGTGTTCATTTTATCATATATAAATTATGCTTTAACATAGTTGATTTTTAAAAAATCAGTTTTAAGTGGATTGTAGAGCTAAATGTGGAATATCAAATAATAACCTCCTTAAAGATAACATGGAATAATTTCTTAAACAGGATATTAAAAGCACTAGTGTTAAATTGCATTAAAACCTGGAACTTCTTGTCTTCAAAAAACATTTCTAAGAAAGTGAAAAATGCAAGCTTCTATGTGAAAGGCCAAAAAATATAATGCATATTCACACACACACATATAAATACATTTGTATGTATATGTATTTTTTTTCTTAAAATTGCTTTATATGCAAAAAATATAACTCCTACAAATTACTAGGGAAGAAAATCCAAATATCTAAAGAAAAAAGGGCAATGATGTGAGTAGGCATGTCATAAAAGAGGATTTTGAAGTAGTCAACACACATATGAAAAGCTGCTCTATATCTGTAGGATACTGGAACTGTTAAGTCATTTTTTATGTTGCTGCTAGGCCTGAAGACCTGTCTTACCTAGCTTAGCTTCTCTGGCCCTCAGTGGCCTACACCTCTGTTTATCCTCGTCCGTCGCAGTTATCTGGTTTATGGGATTGGGAGAGATTTTAGGTTTAGACTTTTTTTGGCCAAGCAAATGAATCTTGTTTTTTGATTATATGTATTATCTTAGTTTTTATGGTTTCATATTGCTCAAAAATTAAGCCATGAAGTGTTTGTTTAGCAAGAGTCAAGTAAAAGAAGACTTACTTAAAAATTAAGAGGGCTTTATATCCAATAAGAAAAATAGTCTCAACGCTGCCATATGATGTTTGTTCTAACAAACTACTGAGTAACAGATGCTTTTAAGTCTATAGTTGCCCAGAACTGTTCTGTCACGGTGTGCTTTGTATTTTTAGCTGAGGGAAGAAAAGTTACAAGAGGAGAAAACCTCTGAAGAACAAATCCACAAACTGTTACCAGAGGATACAGAAACAGCAAAAAGGAAAATGGATGAACAGAAAAAAAGAGATGAGCCATTAGTACTGAAAACAAATCTGGAACGTGTAAGTAGATCATCTTTTTGATGGACATCTGCCTCAAAATCAGCAATCAGCCCAGGAGACGTGGATCAAAAAAACCTACGTTGGTGAGCTATGAGTTCAGTGATGTCATTGACTGTGCAGCTTAAGAGTAGTGAAATTAGCATCTAGAGGAGAGCTGGAGAAAATAATTTGTGAATGGGACAATGACATTTGTGTGGAAAGATTAAGGAACAGTTGGGGGAGAAGTTAGTGAGAGCACAAACCTAGTATAGACTACTACTGTGCTAAGTTTTGTATGTATATTATCATTTTGACTTATGTGTTGTTATTTGACATTTGAGTGTTACAGCTGTTACATCCTCAGCTAGATTTCCTTAAAGCTTGCATTTTACTTCTCTTTATTATGTATAATGCCCTAAGCATCACAGTGCTAGATAAAAGGTAGGTCCTCAATATTAGATTACATACTTACTTACTTTAAACTTAAACTTACTAACTGGGCCAAATCTTGCCTAAATTTTTCTATTAATTATTTACCAAAGAAATTACTGGAAAAGTTTGTGAGTGGTATATTTAACTTACATAGGAAAGCACTTTTGGAGGGTCTACTCTTTACATTCAAATGAATAATTTCAATTGAGTTTTTTTCTTTAGTAAGTCATATAGGATTAGATATTTTCTATTGCTTGCTGTATATACCTCATATATCTTTAAAGTCATATCTTTTAAAACATTTTGTGATTCAGCCTTGTTAATATTTTTTAGTATCTTTCTAGTTAGCCAAAATTAATAAAGCTTTGCCATATAAAAAGGGACAACATAGCATAATAGAGAAATAACATCTCTGGGCCCGAAGTGTACCTCTTAAAGAGGTCCCAGCATTTAACAGACTTTACAACTTTGGCCAAGTTATTTAATTTCTGTGTGCTTTTGGTTTACTCTTTGCAAAGGTATTTTTATGAACTCCAAAAATTGAAATTGTTTTAACTTTCTTGGATCAGTATTATTTGCTGACTATTAACATGAATGTAGACTTGATTCCAGTTATAATAATAATAATTGTTATTTCTTATTGATATAACCATTTGCATTTTACAGTTTCTAAAAGACTCAGTTTAACAAACATGAAATGCTTTTGTCCTCTTAATGCTCTGGTCATTGGGAACTACAAAAGGAAAAAGACTGCTACTGGCAAGGATACAATTTAACTAGGAAGGCAGAATAAAATATATGACAGTCTTGTGCCTATATTAGTCTTCTGACTAATAGCCCCAGCTGTGGTTGGTGGTCTCTAAAGACTCCAACTATGCCTCTTCACCCCAACAGGACTGTCCATTAGGACCTTTTGGTAAAACAACCCAGAGGGACCTTTCTTAGTACAAACCAGTGTGACACAGAGAACATACCCTGCACTGTGGTCCTTTGATACAAAGAACCTGCTGGTTTTGGCCTTGTCAGATTCAGGTTTACTCCAGGAAATGATCTTGCATATTGATTCCTGTGAATACTAGGAAATTAGTCTATTTTTTTCTTTGGCCATCTTTGAAATAGAAATCAATTGCATCAACCTAATTTTAATCTTAAAAGAAATCAGGAAGTTCTTTTTATTGGTAATAGCCAGTTTCATAAAATTTTCTATGCGAAAACACATTCTTTCTGTTTGCTTTTATATTTTTGAGGATTTTTGAATGGCTTTAATTTTGCTTTAAATATGTCTTACGAGTTTTTGTGTTGAACAAATAATTTCATTTACTTTAGCCAAAGCTGTGTTCAAATTGGGACTGAAGAGAAGCTCAAGTGGTCTCAGTGGAAAGCCAGCTAAAGGATTATATTTTATAGAGAGAGTATTATGATTAGAGCTGGACTGATTACTTCACTCTCCTGCCCCCAGAACTGCAGCAACTCCCCATTTCCTGTGGAATTAAATGAGAACTCTTCACCCCAACATTCAGTTCCTTGGTGTTATCCTAGCTTGTCTTTCCATCCTTGCTTACATCCCAAAACTCTTAAGGAACAGAGCTATTTACTTTCCTCCAAATATGTACTCTGTGCTTTCCCTCCTCAGAGTCTTTGCTCTTACATTTTCATTTCATTGAAATGCTACCCAGCTTACCTGATAAAAGACTATTTTCCTCTCTTCATGTCCAGTCCAAAAGCTGTCACCTTCCTGGAACCTATAGGGATTCCTTACTTGTTTCTCCCTCCCTTCATCTACTCTCTCCCCTCCCAATTTCCTCCCCCTCCCTTTAAAATTTTTATAGGACTTTTAAAATTCTCCCTTACATTACAGTATTTGTGTGTTTCTGTTTCTCTACTTGATTTATAAGTTTGTTGAGTATAGGAAGTATGTCTTAACCTATTTTAAAATCTATAGTACCTTGCATATCTCAAGTGTTTGATGTATGTTTATCAAATTGAATTCAGATGGAGGGAGGAAAGTGCTTATTCTAGAAGCAGAGATTATCATTTGTTGTTATTTGTTCAGAATGGAAATAAAATGGGCATGATGTTTATTATGATTTGCCGTGGTACAGTTGATACCAATAATAATGTGAATTGTTGGAAAACAATTTGGTATAACAGTTATAGTCACACCAAAGATTATAAAGCAGAAAGTGAAAAATTGCTTGTCATCCCACATCCTAGAGATAACCCCTATAAACATTTTGGTAAATATTCTCCCAGACTTCTTTTCTAAGTGCATATAAAGAAACTTCAAATATAAATGGAGAGACTCTAAAATAAAATGGAGGTTAATGAATGAGTATCAACAAGATAGAAAAGGCTGACTTGGTGAGTATTTGAAAACCCTTGCACAGAAAGTGACATTTAAGATGCCTCTGAAAGGCTAATGAGTATTTATAGGTAAAGAATGTGGAAGGAGAGTTTTAGATAAAGGGAATAGCATGTACGAAAGAATAGAGATTTTGAGACTGTGATGGTAATGTGGAGAGTAGAAAGTAGTTTTGCTGTGCTAGAGCTTGAGGAGTTCCCTGTGTGGGACCTGGTGGGAGAAAAACCATGAAAGAAGGTTGGGTCTAGTATGTGAAGGTTATTGTATCATGCTGAGGGGTTTGGACTTTATCCTGAAGTCACCAACAGTTAAGCAGGGGAGTGATATGCTTGCAACTGTGTGCTTGATAGTATGGAAGGGACTGGAGGAAAGAAAGGCTGGAGTGAGAGCAAGACCAGTAAATAGATTACTGCAGTAGTCCAGGCAGAAGATACTGAGAGTCTAAGGAAAGGCGTTGACAATGAGTATACATGGAAGAGTTAGATCTGAGAGACATTTTAGGAGTAGAATGGAATAGAGTGGAAATAGCATGGAGGCAGTTTGGAGACAGACACTTTGGAATTAAGTACTAGTTGCTTCTTATTAAGTCTGCAGTCCACAGCAGATTAACTACTCTGAGTCTCAGTTTGCCATCTGTAAAAAAACAGGTAAGAATCTCTTCTTGGGTGGAATAGGTAAAAGGGATAAAAGGGCACAAAATCTCAATTATGGCAGAAGTTGGCCATGGGGATGAAATACAGCATAGGAAATATAGTCGATAATATTGCAGTATCTTTCTATGTGGACAGATGGTAGCAACTCTTACTGGGGTGAGCATTTAGTAATATGGATAACTGTCAAATCACAGTTATAGTCCTGAAACCATTATAATACTGTATATCAACTGAACTTCAATAAAAAAGAAAAAAAGACATACTATACAAATTATGGAAGAATTATCCAATATTAAAAACAAATCCCTTTTAATGAAGTTAAAAGAATAAATGAAATAAAATATTTAGAAGTGTTGGGGTACTCAAAACCCCTATACAATGTTATTATGACTTCAAAGAAAGGGAAAGGAAAGAGTCATAGATGACATTGAGGCTTCTAGCTGGGTTGGTAGTGGGGATTAGAGTATTTTGGATATATTATGTTGGAGCTACATTTGGGATATCCAGATTGTGATCTCCAGGAAGCAGTTAAAAACAGATCGGAGCTCAGAGAGAAGTGACATATAATAGAGAAATTTGAAATGATAGCTATAAGAGATTCCATGGGAAACCCAAATGGACAGTGTTGTCTCCCTTGCTTCCTGCTAGTGTCCTGCACGTCTCTCAGATTCAGAGAATGAAGAACCTTCCCGAGGCAAGATGACCCAGACACACCGCTCAGCGTTTGTTTCCAAGAACAACTCCTACTCCTTAGCCTTCCTGGCAGGGTAAGAGACTGATACTGGATTCAGTCAGCATTCTTTCATTTTAGGGTGTGAGAAGCACTGGAGGATTAAAAGTATTTGTTGTAGCAACTTTGGGGGAGGTGGGAGTAGGAAAAACAAGTGGGGACTTGTTTTCAAATATGGATGAGGGACAAGTGGATGACCTGCAAGTATATATTACCTATTTCTATATCCTCAGGGTAGGATTATTCTAATTGCTTTGCTTCAAAGTGTGAATTTTCTATCCTGCAAGGAAGTAACAAAGGTTTTTCAGTTGACAATATCCATCAATTCTCTCTGTAGACTTTTTTCTCTTAGTAGGAAGTGAGACCAGAGTTGATATTCAGTGTCTAGAATTAAAATATATCTTGATGGGTTTCAAGATGGCAAACTGAAAAGTTTTTTAAGACCCTGATCAAGGAATCTCTTGATCCTTTAGACTTTGCAGGCCTGGGGAGGAAAGGAGGTTGGAATTGGATGGATGTTGGATGATAGAAGAATAATGAAAGGCTAGATGGAAGGAAGGAAGGGAGAAAGGGAGGGAGGGAGGAAGGGAGAATAGAAAAGAAAGGAAGGGAAGAAGAAATGGAGGAAGGGAGGTGGGAAATAATCATTTATTCAGTAGACATTTTGTGAGCAGCTACTGTGTGCTATGCTCTCTTTCTTAATGTAAAGACAATCTTTATCTCATTTTGTTGCCTTTTTTTGTTTAAATCTGTCATTGCTAACCCTTATTTCTAGGGTTCCTCTCAGCACTATGGAGTAGATCTCTGCTGCCTGTATAGACATACACTCAAACCCTTTTTATTTTAGGATTTTAATTGCTAGTCCCTAGTAAATGTGACCAAAAAAGCTACCAAGTTTAAGAATGTTATGATGTATGTACTATTGTGATGCCTGATGTAGTTTTTATATCTGAATCCTTGCTGTATGTGTTCTTTTGGAGCAGTCTGGTTTTCCTGTTATTTCTATAAGTAAAATGCACTAAACCTCCCCTTCTCTTAAATACTTCCCCTTCTGTAGGTAATGGTAGCTCCTTTTTCTAGGAAGGCTCTTTGCTGGAATATTTATTCACTCATTTGACGTTTATTGAATGGACAAATTGCCAGTGGGATTATAAAACAGTATAACCACCATGGGAAACATTTTGGCAGCTGCTTTATAAATTTAAACATATAATTACTATGTGACCCAGCAATTCCACATTGCTAGCCAAGCAAAATAAAAACATCTGTCCACAAGAAGATAAATGTTCATAGAAGCTTTATTCATTATAGCCCAAAAACTAAATACAACCCAAACGTCTAACATTCAAATGGATAAACAAATTATGGTATATCCATACAATGAAATAACTCATCCATAAAAGGAATGTCTTAATAATAAACTCAGTAACATGGGTGAATCTCACAAAATATGCCAAAGCCTGAAACAAAGGAATGTATGCTAATGAATTTATAATAGGCAAAACTAATCTGTAGTCATAGTTATCAGATTTGGGGTTGCCTAAGGCTGAGTGAGGTGGGAGATTGATTGCTAGTGGGCTTGAAGGGACTTTCTTATGTGGTAAAAATATTCTATATCTTGATTAGGGAGATAGTTAACATGGATATATACATTTGTCAAATCTCATTGAACCATACATCCCATATGTGTTCATTTTATCATATATAAATTATGCTTTAACATAGTTGATTTTTAAAAAATCAGTTTTAAGTGGATTGTAGAGCTAAATGTGGAATATCAAATAATAACCTCCTTAAAGATAACATGGAATAATTTCTTAAACAGGATATTAAAAGCACTAGTGTTAAATTGCATTAAAACCTGGAACTTCTTGTCTTCAAAAAACATTTCTAAGAAAGTGAAAAATGCAAGCTTCTATGTGAAAGGCCAAAAAATATAATGCATATTCACACACACACATATAAATACATTTGTATGTATATGTATTTTTTTTCTTAAAATTGCTTTATATGCAAAAAATATAACTCCTACAAATTACTAGGGAAGAAAATCCAAATATCTAAAGAAAAAAGGGCAATGATGTGAGTAGGCATGTCATAAAAGAGGATTTTGAAGTAGTCAACACACATATGAAAAGCTGCTCTATATCTGTAGGATACTGGAACTGTTAAGTCATTTTTTATGTTGCTGCTAGGCCTGAAGACCTGTCTTACCTAGCTTAGCTTCTCTGGCCCTCAGTGGCCTACACCTCTGTTTATCCTCGTCCGTCGCAGTTATCTGGTTTATGGGATTGGGAGAGATTTTAGGTTTAGACTTTTTTTGGCCAAGCAAATGAATCTTGTTTTTTGATTATATGTATTATCTTAGTTTTTATGGTTTCATATTGCTCAAAAATTAAGCCATGAAGTGTTTGTTTAGCAAGAGTCAAGTAAAAGAAGACTTACTTAAAAATTAAGAGGGCTTTATATCCAATAAGAAAAATAGTCTCAACGCTGCCATATGATGTTTGTTCTAACAAACTACTGAGTAACAGATGCTTTTAAGTCTATAGTTGCCCAGAACTGTTCTGTCACGGTGTGCTTTGTATTTTTAGCTGAGGGAAGAAAAGTTACAAGAGGAGAAAACCTCTGAAGAACAAATCCACAAACTGTTACCAGAGGATACAGAAACAGCAAAAAGGAAAATGGATGAACAGAAAAAAAGAGATGAGCCATTAGTACTGAAAACAAATCTGGAACGTGTAAGTAGATCATCTTTTTGATGGACATCTGCCTCAAAATCAGCAATCAGCCCAGGAGACGTGGATCAAAAAAACCTACGTTGGTGAGCTATGAGTTCAGTGATGTCATTGACTGTGCAGCTTAAGAGTAGTGAAATTAGCATCTAGAGGAGAGCTGGAGAAAATAATTTGTGAATGGGACAATGACATTTGTGTGGAAAGATTAAGGAACAGTTGGGGGAGAAGTTAGTGAGAGCACAAACCTAGTATAGACTACTACTGTGCTAAGTTTTGTATGTATATTATCATTTTGACTTATGTGTTGTTATTTGACATTTGAGTGTTACAGCTGTTACATCCTCAGCTAGATTTCCTTAAAGCTTGCATTTTACTTCTCTTTATTATGTATAATGCCCTAAGCATCACAGTGCTAGATAAAAGGTAGGTCCTCAATATTAGATTACATACTTACTTACTTTAAACTTAAACTTACTAACTGGGCCAAATCTTGCCTAAATTTTTCTATTAATTATTTACCAAAGAAATTACTGGAAAAGTTTGTGAGTGGTATATTTAACTTACATAGGAAAGCACTTTTGGAGGGTCTACTCTTTACATTCAAATGAATAATTTCAATTGAGTTTTTTTCTTTAGTAAGTCATATAGGATTAGATATTTTCTATTGCTTGCTGTATATACCTCATATATCTTTAAAGTCATATCTTTTAAAACATTTTGTGATTCAGCCTTGTTAATATTTTTTAGTATCTTTCTAGTTAGCCAAAATTAATAAAGCTTTGCCATATAAAAAGGGACAACATAGCATAATAGAGAAATAACATCTCTGGGCCCGAAGTGTACCTCTTAAAGAGGTCCCAGCATTTAACAGACTTTACAACTTTGGCCAAGTTATTTAATTTCTGTGTGCTTTTGGTTTACTCTTTGCAAAGGTATTTTTATGAACTCCAAAAATTGAAATTGTTTTAACTTTCTTGGATCAGTATTATTTGCTGACTATTAACATGAATGTAGACTTGATTCCAGTTATAATAATAATAATTGTTATTTCTTATTGATATAACCATTTGCATTTTACAGTTTCTAAAAGACTCAGTTTAACAAACATGAAATGCTTTTGTCCTCTTAATGCTCTGGTCATTGGGAACTACAAAAGGAAAAAGACTGCTACTGGCAAGGATACAATTTAACTAGGAAGGCAGAATAAAATATATGACAGTCTTGTGCCTATATTAGTCTTCTGACTAATAGCCCCAGCTGTGGTTGGTGGTCTCTAAAGACTCCAACTATGCCTCTTCACCCCAACAGGACTGTCCATTAGGACCTTTTGGTAAAACAACCCAGAGGGACCTTTCTTAGTACAAACCAGTGTGACACAGAGAACATACCCTGCACTGTGGTCCTTTGATACAAAGAACCTGCTGGTTTTGGCCTTGTCAGATTCAGGTTTACTCCAGGAAATGATCTTGCATATTGATTCCTGTGAATACTAGGAAATTAGTCTATTTTTTTCTTTGGCCATCTTTGAAATAGAAATCAATTGCATCAACCTAATTTTAATCTTAAAAGAAATCAGGAAGTTCTTTTTATTGGTAATAGCCAGTTTCATAAAATTTTCTATGCGAAAACACATTCTTTCTGTTTGCTTTTATATTTTTGAGGATTTTTGAATGGCTTTAATTTTGCTTTAAATATGTCTTACGAGTTTTTGTGTTGAACAAATAATTTCATTTACTTTAGCCAAAGCTGTGTTCAAATTGGGACTGAAGAGAAGCTCAAGTGGTCTCAGTGGAAAGCCAGCTAAAGGATTATATTTTATAGAGAGAGTATTATGATTAGAGCTGGACTGATTACTTCACTCTCCTGCCCCCAGAACTGCAGCAACTCCCCATTTCCTGTGGAATTAAATGAGAACTCTTCACCCCAACATTCAGTTCCTTGGTGTTATCCTAGCTTGTCTTTCCATCCTTGCTTACATCCCAAAACTCTTAAGGAACAGAGCTATTTACTTTCCTCCAAATATGTACTCTGTGCTTTCCCTCCTCAGAGTCTTTGCTCTTACATTTTCATTTCATTGAAATGCTACCCAGCTTACCTGATAAAAGACTATTTTCCTCTCTTCATGTCCAGTCCAAAAGCTGTCACCTTCCTGGAACCTATAGGGATTCCTTACTTGTTTCTCCCTCCCTTCATCTACTCTCTCCCCTCCCAATTTCCTCCCCCTCCCTTTAAAATTTTTATAGGACTTTTAAAATTCTCCCTTACATTACAGTATTTGTGTGTTTCTGTTTCTCTACTT